AAACGTTTGCAGCTTCTTGCCACAAATGACTGTGTGATTGAGAGCTTAAGGCACAAACTGCTCTGACATTAAGATAACTGCTTAGTGAACTTTCCTGGCAAATCGAGTTAGGATTTGAAGATTTGTCAGATGTCGGTGGACTTTGATCAATAACCCTCTTTTCTAGAGATATTTGTAAGGACTTTGATTTCCTACACCAGAAGCCTCAATCCTCTAGTTATTCTTTCCAACTTGGACATTCTTTCTGAACATCAGCGTGTGTGTGTATTGAAGGTGACTCTTCACTGCCTGACAGTTCTCACTGACCCTAACTGTTTTTCTCTGGAAATAAAATTCAGTTCCTTTTTTACTTTAAGAAGATAATTTCCTCAGGAGATTGGAAAAGGGTATTCTCCATGCAATTTCAAGACCATACATCCATTAATTCTTATGTCTCTGCTACTAAAAAATAAAAGAACTTATTAAAAGTCTAGGTTCCTCATTAATGATTCTGAATTGATTGGAATTAGACCATAAGATACATTGTGGGTAATGAGCAAATTCTGTAAGCTTGAATCTTCTGTTCAGTAGCTGCAGCAGAAAGAGAGATGCTGTCACTTGTGATCTGATAGGTTTTTTATTTCACAGATCTACAAATATTTCATTCTTGCACACTGATGTGCCCGCTGACAAGCAGGGCCATAAGTTTTTATGACCCTCATGTTAGGTGCTTACTAACTGTAGATGAAGTCGTCCAGTGTGTCACCTACTGTATGAATGGAGTCCCTGAGAAATGGAGCAGTTATTGTGAGACAGGGTGACACCTGGATGTGTTGCTGTTTGAGTGGCTACCTGCTGGGTATGGTTCTCAGAGGTGACAATTTGCTGGACTGTGTATTTATTTCCTCAGAACAGGAATCTGAAGATGCCTGCTATATCTGCAGAAAGTTTTAACTCTATCATGGGGAAATCCAGCTCCTATAAACATTATTAATCTAGGTTTACCAGGAAAAACTGGTAACAAAACAGGAAACTGTTTTAGTTTGGGTGTTTTTGGGTTTTTTTCATGTAGTTTCTGAAGCAAGAAAGCTGTGTGTTGTGGGAGTTACACAGGTAATCAGGGTGGTCTTCAATGGCTACAAAATATTTTTTAATTCTTCTTCCTTTATTATTCTGATAATTTTTTTTGTTTAGTCTTTTGTTAAGCCAAGCCATGTTTCAAAGAAAGAAGGAAGAGGAAGGCATTAGAAAAAAAGCCTGGTTTGTGTTTTTCTGACATGTCATATGGCCAGAGCTCTTCACTTTTTATTCCAGTGTATGATTTTACAAGTTTTATTAATTTAAAAAACAAAACAAAACCAAAACCACAAAACCCACCCAACAAAACACCCCAAAGCACAACGCTTTAAATGGAAATGCCGTTAGCAACTGGAAATACAAATGGCAAGAGGCAAAGATGACAGTGTAGAATCGTGCAGCTCTGTCTTATAATAATGAACTTTTCCATCCAAACTCTCAAAAATAGGAGAGGTCTGCAAAGGTCTCCACAACAAGAACACGTGAGATGACCATGGTACTAGTCAGGAACACAAGTCTCGTTGGCATAAGGAGCAATCCAACTCAATTGTGTTAGTCCTTCATTTGGAGCTGTGATGAATTGTTTAATTCAAACTAAAATATGAGCCTCTTTCAGGATTCTCTGAAGCCTCTTAACTTCTAACAAAAATGGTAATTAATTTTAATTTTAATTAGCTTTCTAATGAGAGACTTGGAAAGAATGCTTGGATTTTTGCATTTTTAATAGCGGATATGATTTTAGAGTACACGTGTTCAGACTTTCTAGGAAAAATAGGAAGGGAGATATTTAAAATGGCCAAATTTTATTGTCACCTTTTTCTAATTGAACATTTCCAATGATCTTTATTAGCTGTTTGGCCTCAAATGGCAATTCATTTATTTGTGGTACAAAAACCTGGATGAAAGATATTTTCATCCTTACTTTAAATGTGTTGCTGCATTTAATTAGAGAAATGAGATACCTTGGTACAATTCTAGCTGTCTTCTAGTACCCAGTAGTCATTTCTGATCGGTTTCATGCAGCATTTGCACCCTTCTGCATTGGAGTTTGAGGTTATGATACTTATTTGTATTTAAATATTTAAAATGTATGTTTTGGAACATAAGAGAAAGAAATGTGGGGGGTTTTTTTTCTACACACCTGGCTGTCAGTCCCTCCTTTCTTCCATTGCAACAAATGAATCAACTGAGAGATGGTTGATGGATGGATGGAGAGAGTGTGCTCTTAGAGTCCTACATGGACTTTGTTTGGAAGTGGGAATTATGTGGGACTTGCTTTATAATTCTTAACCAAGTTCCCTGCAATGAGCTTTCTCAGCTTCACTGAAAATCCCCTTAATGCCAGCTTGGGTATACTTTGGGGTTAGTGGGTTTCTTTTTTAGCCAGTTGGGTTGGAGAAGAGTCTGTAGTTGGGCTGGAAGGAGAGAAGCTGAGAGAGCAACTCCATCTCCCTTTTAAAAAAAATCCTCAATGAGGCTGGAGAGTCGTGAAGTGTTCAGTCAAAAATTACTCGCCAGCACACTGGATTACAGGTGAATTTCAATCACAAAGTTATTATTAACAATCTGAATTTTTACACCTTTTCTGAAATCACCCAAATACTAACGAGATATAATTTCAAACAGGTAAAATATCTTCTATCATCACATCATAATTAAAGTTTATGCAAGACTAGTGTGATGTTTGTAATTGTCTTTATGTTTCTATATAGCCCATGAAGTGTGCACAGCAATTTATCTATCAGTGATAGACCCTAATTTAAAGACATGTTAGAAATTGTATAAATTGAAAATAACTATGTATCAGATATGAGTGCAATATAAAAGAACTATTCAAATAGGGACAGGTATGAATGCAGCTTTGTATGAATTACTTTTTTTATTCTGACTTCAATACTTGAGGGAAGGTTCAGACTTCCCATAGTTAGAAAATCTACCAGGTTTGAATTGGTGTCAGGGTTTGAATTACAAATGATTGTTTTATCTGTCTACTGCCAAAAATTGAACTTTCTTGATCAGTTTTCTAAAGCTCCCTTTAATAAGCTTTTCAACTGTCTGTTCCAGCAGCTGTGCTATGTGAAGGTGTAGGCATGTTCTAATTTTGCATGTGGCTCATGGAGAATATTTCATTGTTCACACGTTGTGCTTGTTCTTCAGGGGTTATCAACCTTCATTTTTGTGGTTCTCCTTTCTTTTCTCATTCATGTTTTGGGGAGCAAAACAATGAGTCCACACTACTGGTGTCTTGAGGGCTGGTTGTGCTGTTGCAGGACACTGATGTGTTGTGACTACAGATCCGTTCTTGAGCCTGATGTGTGTGTTGAGCTGGAGACTGGGACAGGTAGCGTGGAGCTGTGTGCCAGTGCCTGATGCTAGGAAGGTTTTCATAGGCAGGTGAGCTGCTTTGAGTTGGCACTTTCAAATAACTTCAGTCACTTTTGCATTGAGAGAGAAGTTTAAAAAACAAACAATCCTGCCCTTCCCCTACCCCAAATCTAGAGTTAGTATCTCTTATGTTGCTTCGGGAAGGAAAAAATATTTAACACTTTAAAGAAGATGTAAACTGGTTTAATGTCTCTGTGTGACTCTGCTTCATTAACAGAGAGTTAATGCAGAGAACGTAAGGAACAAATTAGGGGTAAATCAACCAATATAACTTGTTGACTCTGTTTCATTAAGAGAGAGTTAATTTAGAGAATGTAAGGAACAAATTAGGGGCAAATATAACCTGTTTTTCTCTTGAAGTCATTTTTTGTACGTGGATTTTTGCAGTTTAACACTGATTTTCAAACAGTCCAAGAACGGCTGTTTAAGGCATTGTCTATAAAACATTTCAGCACTTCATCTCTGATCTGGATAGAAAAGCAAATAAAAGCTCGATTCTTTTGAAGTAGTCGTGCTCTGAGATGGCATAGACCAGATCTCCAGATATTGTTGGGGAATGTGTATAGGCTTTTTATGCACTGAACAACACTTCAGAAAAACTTTCTGATTTCACTAGTGCCTCTTGATTTTCATGAGGAAGTTTCCTCCTGTAGTTTGTTGCTCAGAAAGGCTGACTAATTTTGAGTGCCCAGTTTGTTTCCTTATAGGTGGCTTTTTCAGAACTGATGAGGTCCTGGAGCTCTCATGGACTAACTGATGCGTGCTGAATGAATGAGCTCTTGAAAAACAGTTCATGTTGTCCAGATCCTGTTTGTGCCTTCAAGAAAGAGAGACTATCATCTGAAAATCTGCCTGTTAAAAATCTGGTTCCCTATAGCTACCCAGTGGGGTTAAGTGTATTGATCTGAGTGACTGAGCAAGGAACAACTGCCTCATTTCCCTCTCCATTTTATTTTTCTTTTGGGGTGTCACATAGCACAATGCAGGCTGTTGCAGATGCACATGAGAAAGATTATGATTTTATAGCCACTTTCATTACTAAATTTGTTATGGGAAATTAATTTAGAACTTACACAATTGTGTTCCTGTTGATGGTGAAGCCTATGTTTGATTAGTTGGTTTTTTTTTTTCTCCTCTTAAAGAAAAAACTATCAGGAATCTTACCTAATGACAAGATTTTCTTTTATTTGCAGTGTTTCATAAAACAAATTTCTTAGTGAAGAGCAGGTAGGATTTTTACAGGATTGCTAATTTTAACCTCTAGTCACAAGGAATTTTTTGGTTGGAGTGAATACAACTCACTGTGTGTTCTGATGCGCACCATACTGAGCATTTTGATAGAGGAGGAGTATTTCTGTAATTAAACTATTCTATACAAAACGGGATAATGCAGCAATGTGTATTTTGCTTTTATTCTAAGCCACTTCTGTGAGCTGTGGAGTCCTTCAACAGTACGTTAATTCCATATTGTATCCAACTTGGATGAAAAAATCTGAAAAATCATGTTCTTTCATATATAAACATGATGTACATTTCTTGACCAATTTCTTTTTCCACAGGCATGGTCCTTGTGCGCAGTGAGAACGGGCAGTTGCTGATGATCCCCCAACAAGCCTTGGCGCAGATGCAAGCGCAGGCACACGCCCAGTCTCAGCCTCAAAATACTATGACTCCTCGTCCTGCTACACCTACCAGTGCTCCTCCAGTGCAGATATCCACAGTACAGGTTAGTTCAATAATTTGTCGTGTTAAAAACTGTAAAGATTTTTTTTTTCCTATGAAGAATACACCAAAAAGTAAGGTTTGATGTTAGTGATTTGAAGAAACTATTGACCAAACTGGTACTCTACAAGCTTTTCCACATGCCAAAATTATGGTCTTTTGTTCCTAGTTCTGTTACAGTTTGGCTGTTACTCATCAAAAATATTTTTACCTAGCTGAGTGGCATTCAGTTTAAAACTGTTTGATATAAAGATCATTCAAGACCATATATGGTTAATGTGTAGAACTCTCTTCCCCAAAGAATCATTATTCTTTATAAAACTAAAAGAAAAAAAGTGGGTATGGGTATATGTACACTGAGATCATCACAGCTGCATTAAGTTTAAGACTAAAAAATCCTTCTCACAGTTTTATAGTGGTCCAGATGCATTCTTTTGTATCTGTAATAATGACAACTATCCAGAGACAAAATACGAGTTCAGGTAGATTGTATTTAAATATAGGAACTAATGTGTTTGGTTTTTTGCTCTTCCCCAGGCTCCAGGAACACCTATTATTGCACGACAGGTGACACCAACTACTATTATCAAGCAAGTGTCTCAGGCTCAAACAACAGTGCAACCCACAACAACGCTACAGCGTCCTCCTGTTGTGCAAGTGAGTTTGTAGAGAAGTCACTTGTGTATAAATGAGATACATCAGTTGGTAAGATTAGCTGAAAACCTGCTTGAGACTGCCAGAAATATGGGAAAGATAATTGCCATGTGCATGGAAGAAATAACTTCTGGATTATCCTTTCTGAAACATTTGCAGATCTCAATTTACTTTATACTTTGGATGTATATGAATTATTTTTATATGTATAATTATTTCATACTATACCTATATGTGTATATATCTAAACCTATCCTGTTATTAGCTGATATAATCACAGGACTGACTGAAACAAAATACCTTTTTTGCTTTCTGCTTCAAGAAAGTGACACCAATTCCCTTTGGATTTGGAGCTGTGATGTTATTCCTGTGATGGATCTGTAGTCCTCAGAGTTCTGCAGCAAAACTTCCAGTTACAAAAAAGACTGCACTGGTAGCTTCTCTTCCACAAGCCTTCTCCCTCTTACACGAGTCTCTGCTTTGGTCTGTGTACTTGAGGAGAGTCTGATAACTGAGGGATAAATAACAGTGTCTGTAGCCTGTATTAATGATAGACTTTCTTACAGTTTGTTTGTTTTTTTTGAGAGTTGTGGTGTGAGTTTAAAACACAGTGCAAAAGTGTGAAATTCTCCACATGACTTCCAGGCAACGTGATACAATATGATTGCTGTCGCCTAATCTGTTGCATTTTCTTCATCCTCTGAGTAGACAGGATTAGAGAGTTTTAATTTAAAGCATGCACACTTTGCTCTGCATCCAGTTAACCTTTTTTCCCCTCAGAGAGCCTTTGCCTATGCCAGTGATCTTTCCAGATCTAAGAGTTAATTTACCTAAGTGAATTTCCTTAATTTGCACTGCTGTTATATTGGACAAAAAAAATGCCATCTGCATAATTTTTGTGGTAAGGAGCATGCCATGGACTTCATTTATCCTGATTTCAAAAAAATGAGACAAATTAAATCATTGTCTCCTTTTCTGTCTCACAAAATACCAATGAAAGTTAGCTTTGGTATCACTGGACCCTCTTTTCTTGTGCATCTTTATATAAAGAGCAAGTTTACAAATGATTTGTTAAAGTTCTGAGGGCTAGTTTTAGCTTGGTAAGAATTACTGTCTCTCTGATTGGGTTGTCATTACTCATTAGACTGTCTTGGAAGTCAATGAATGAACTGTGTATGTGAAAAGTTCTTGTTTACAATGTTGATTCTTTAAAGGTGATATTCCTACTTTGAATTACCAACTTGTCTACAAAACTAGAAAAATGTTTTGTCCCACTGTTCATCAAAACCACCCAGATAAGAGCCGAGCGTTGGTGTCTGTTGTGCCTTTCTAGAAATTCCCCCCTTTCAAAGTGGCATTTAAGAGAACAGGCAAAAAAAAAAAGCTATTGCATTCACTGAAACTTAGTACTTTTCTAATTGTGTTTTTAAACCACAGTGCATGGGATTGTTTATGGTATTAGTTTTGCCATTTTATTCAGTAACCCAAAATCGTTCAATTCTTAATCGACTTTCAGGATCTCAGTGTAGAATCTGTAGTGTTTTGTGCCATCTGGTGTCTCTTTCTTTCCACTGCAACAGATGACAGAGTAACTTCTTTTTATAGTAGCTGTGAAAGGTGTTCTGCTGTCCTGCAGCTTGGTTTCTGTTTAGTGGTTCAGCAAAACAGATTTTGGTATGTTCCAAGTGAAATAATTTTATGTTTGTATTCTCTGCAGCCTCAGATTGTTCTGGGTGGTACTGCACAAACAACTACCTTGGGAACAGCAACAGCAGTACAAACTGGAACTCCTCAGAGAACAGTGCAAGGAACAACGGCAACCTCCACTGCTGCCACAGTAAGATACTGAGTGCATTTAGAATCTTTTATTCTGTTCATTCAAATATACATGTACGCATAAACATACATATATATGTATATATACACATAAACAGAGATCAGAGTGGAGAGTAGTCAGGAGTTCTGTGAACTATTGGTCTTGAAAAAGTAAACTTTTACTAGAACCATTTAATTTACGAGGTGTGAACACAGGTCACTTGAATTTTGGCAACTGTCAAAGTCTTAATTTTGATTTCTGTAACACTTTTAAAGCATTCCTTTTTAAAAAACATATTAGGTGTGTCTTATAGAAAAGTGAATCGTTCAGCACTGCAGAGTAGAATCAGTATGGGAAGGGATAAGAAGTTGGCACTGATTCATTCAAGATGCACGTGTCCAGGACTGCACAACAGGGAGAATCTGTGCACGATGCTGTGCACTGGGAAGAAGGACCTCTGCTGTTTGTTGTCCTGATAAAATGCATATTTTCCCATATGCAATTTGCTATTCTCAAAATACTTGATGTTCCTAACTTACTAAGAATCATAATTTATTAAATTTTGATAACAAAAATATACAATACATGTGTATATATGAAGCAAAATAATAATTTTAGTCTGATTATGCCTTAAGCAATTGGGGGTCACAAATCTATAAATAATATTCTGCAGTGATGAACTAAAGGAGGACTTGATTTCTCAGAGTATACAGTCAGATCATGTATTTAAAAGCATTTATCTTCCCTTCTCTAACTGTTTCCCTCCTCCTCCTGTAACAGGAAACTATGGAAAATGTGAAGAAATGCAAAAACTTTCTGTCCACATTAATAAAACTGGCATCATCTGGAAAACAGTCTTCAGAGACTGCGGCTAACGTGAAAGAATTGGTACAGAACCTACTGGTAAGAAAAGTTCATTAAAAGTTGTGAAAAACAGGATCTGGGCAAATTTAGACTCAAAACCGAGAAGATTTGATGTTGAATATCTGTAAAAGTTAATTTCTACAAGTTTGTTCATCTGGATTTTTTGTTTTGAAGGATGGAAAAATTGAAGCAGAAGACTTTACCAGTAGGCTGTACAGAGAACTTAATTCTTCACCTCAACCTTACCTTGTGCCTTTCCTGAAGGTAACTTGTGTTCACCAGTCCTTATATATTTCTGTGCTTATATATCAGTAGCAATGAACACAAACATATCTTTTGGCAGTATAGATGATATTCCAGAATTGTGTAAATGGAAGTTTTAAATCATGCCTGGTTAGACTTTTGCTTCCTTAAAAAATATTTCTGCCTCTTGATTCCACGAGTTTGTTAGTATGATTTATTGGCACAGTCAATAATGTAATTTCTGCCATGGTGTCACATTGTAGCTCTTTTGAGAAATCTAAAAAGTTTTCTTTCTATGACTTATAAGCAGTTTCTTCCCGTAGTACTAAACATATGAATTGATTTATTATCCTCTTTTTAGTCTTTGAAAAAACACAAGGGATTGAATGATACAGAAAACTGAACGTTCTGGACAAACTCACACTCTTTTGGCTGTGCTGTATACCTGTTTGTAAGGATAAACAGGAAATTTGTCACCTCTCAAAAATAAATTCCATTTGTCATAAATTTTATAGTAATTGGACGCATTTCAAAACAATGTTTATTCTGAAACATCATCTGAAAATCAGAGAAAGTTCAGCCTCACTGTATGGTAAGAGTGTAACTCTGCTTGACTGATGTACGATTAGGGGATATAGTTGTGTTAACACTTCTGGGTTCTTAAATGCTTGTTCAACATTGAGCTGTTCATGAGGACAAAAATTGTTACCCTAAGAAAACAACTAAAGTAAGACTCTGGTAAAACACTGTGATCTCTGAGCTATTCTGAAATCTTCACCAGTGTTCCAGTATGTCTTTTAAGCCATCACATGTTAGAACTGGGTAACTGAGGAAGGCAGCATGGGCTTGGACTGTTAAATATGTACAGGGGTTCCAGATAGGCTTGCATAACCTAGATGCCCATATTACCCAAGCTTCCACAACTAAAGGTGCTGTCACTCTGTCTAGCTTTAAATGTGAAGTAGCATGGTATTTCTGTGTGCACTGCTGCAACATTCTCAGGTGCGCGCGGACTAACACGATGGACTGAAAGGAAACGCATCGCTTCTTACGTTTAATGTTTTCTTGCGTGATCTAGGATTAAAATACTCAAGCAAATTCTTTCCTTTTCTCTTTTCAGAGGAGTTTACCTGCCTTGAGACAGTTAACACCGGACTCTGCAGCTTTCATTCAACAAAGTCAACAGCAACAGCCAACGACGCAAGCGACGATAGCAACAATTCCATCTGCGGCGGTGCTTCTGAGCTCCTCGGTTCAGCGTACGGCAGGGAAGGCGACTGCGACTGTGACGAGTACTCTCCAACAACCTGTAATCAGCCTAACTCAACCTACACAAGTTGGTGTTAGTAAACAAGGGCAGTCTACACCACTGGTACGTAAGCTGAACTACCTAATGTGTTATTGCACGGATTTTTTTGGTAATAAAGTAACTTTTCTTTTTAAATTGGTGGTTTAGCTCAATCAGGTTTCTCTGACCTCTTTAGAGAAAATAGCTACTAAGAAAAAAAAGTATAATTTAAAATCCATTCTTGATTAAAGTACTATATTATTTCCTATTTTAGCATGAAATATTTTAAGATTGTCTCAATCACAGCATATCCATGAGAGAGCACTGTTCTGGAGGATCTTTTATTCCCCATTTCATAAATCTAACAACAGATTACCCCAAAAGAGCAGAAAGAATAACTTTCTCAGGTCTACACATTACCCAAATATGAACAGTATAATGTGCAGCACCTTTTTTTCCTCTTTGCATAGCAAAGCAGTGTCTGAGTGTAAGCTTTTTCTAGGATGTGTATTAATCAATATACATTATAGAATTACTAGGGTTTTTTCTTACTTGTTACTTCAACGTTCCCTGTAGAACGTTTCACATTCATCTGAGCTGCTCTGTCCAGAAATTTTCATACAAAATCACTTCTGTCAATCCACAAATACTTTTCACTTACCTTGAGAGAAAAACAAGTGATTATATTGGTCTTACTGCCTTTATAACCTAGGTATTATAGAGGGAGGTTAGGAACCTAGGATAGAAATAAAAACTGAACATTGACTACCAAGTGCTGGATTTACAAGAAAATAATTTGACCTATAAAATAATAGCAAAAGTAGCAAAAGACTTGCAGAGTTATGGGAATGAAGCTTGCAAAACAGGCTGAGTTGGTAGATTTCTTTATAGTAGTTTGAAGGTAAGTTTCTGAAAACTAATTGAGTGCAGAAGATGAGTTTGCATGAATGGCTGTGACTGTAACATTGCGATGTGACCCTACTTTGATGAGCTCACCTTGAGAAGCAGTATGATTGCAGTTGGCTGAGACTCAGTCTAACCTAACAATCCAATAATACTGCTGCACAGCTGTAGCTTATTCTAGTTCTGGATGAAAACAGCCTATGTAGAACCAACTGGATTGTCTTTATCATGTCTCTCTTTTATTCTAGAGTTTTTTTTTCAGGCAGATCCAGTTTGCTTCTGTATCTCTAATGGAGAAACCACATGTAGAAAGTTTTAACTGGACCTTTGTGATTATAGATGTTTGGGTTTTTTTTAATAGGTTACTGTTTTATTTTGTATCACAGAAAGTGGAATATTAGTTTTCCTATAAGGTATAACTTACCTAAAGAAACTTTTACATACCTTAAAATGTGCTGATTCTGGATCAGTGAACAGATTTGTTAAGAACACAACTTAACAGTTGGTTGTTAGGGTTTGTTCTTCACACCTGATTCTTAGCCTTAGTTATTTCTCAGATTATTTACAATTCCTATTTGTCCTTACTGTTTGCAGGTTATCCAACAGTCTCAAAAAGCAGGGGCATTGATAAGGCCTCCACAGGTAACGTTGACACAGACACCAATGGTAGCATTGCGGCAACCACATAGTCGTATTATGCTCACTACTCCTCAAATCCAACTGAATCAACTTCAAACAGGTAAGAGGTCAAGATACTTGGGGTGTGCTGTATTTGATAGCGTTAACTGAGGTCTGGTTTATGAATGGCAGTTCTTAAGTACCCTGTAGCTGTATGATGGCTGTTGTACTACTGCTAAAACCTTCACTGCATAGTACCATAGTGGCTGGGGATACACGTGTGTCAGAGCAGTGTTTACAGTCAGAGAAATAGTTTGCATACTGGAATTGTGTGGGAGGATCCTGTTTTAGATGGGTGAAATGCTGACAATTTATTGAGGTAAAGTCTTTGTGCTGGACCTATTGCCATTATTACCCGAGTCTGAACTCCGATACCAATTTGATGGAGTACAAATCTTGTCTGTCTTTTTGCAGTACCTGTGGTAAAACCAGCAGTATTACCTGGAAACAAAGCTATTGCCACTGTTTCGACACAAGTAGCTGCTGCTCAGAAGAATAAACTCAAAGAACCTGGGGGAGGCTCTTTTAGGTGAGGAACCACGTG